AAACATATGAAATAGCATTGAAGGACCCATCTTTCAACTTTATATAAATCTTACATTTTTCTTTTATTGAGATGGTTAAATCTTACATTCCCGAATTTAATTTATGACCGAACAAACTCATGCAATTCAGTGAATATCTCCTTGTGACCACACATGTGATTACTGCAGCTTGAATTCATGCTATATTCAATTTTTGATTTTCCATCCACATGTTTCTTCCGTAATTAGTTGGGGAAACCTTTTTGTCGTCCTTGGTTATTGAGAAGTATAGTTATCATAACTGGATTAAATTTCAAACCACCAGAATGAATGGGTCAATAGTTAGTTGGTTCAATCGGTGTGTCAAATGGTTAGATCGATCGTATAATTAAAAAATAAAAAATTTATAATAATTTAACCAAAAAAAAATATATGAAACATGTTTACATTTTATCATACCATAACCTCTCATGATTAAAATATCATAACCTAAATAAAAACACATCATCCAAATATTATAATCATTATCAAGCCTAAAAACACATCATCCTGCAAATAAGTCAAAGTTTGACCGATTTAGGGCCCAATTCACCTGTCCAACCGGCTGGTTCGGTTCTGATATCACTGTTGAGAAGCATTAATCACATAAAATTATAATTATAATTTAAAATAATTCATAAGCAACTCACGTGTGCATCAACTAGTAAATTAAAAAGGTAACGTTGTAATCTAATAGTAAATATTCGCTTCCTTTTATGACAAATTTTTTGTTGTATTTGTCATATTAACCTATTAATTTGCTTAAAAACCAATTATAAGTATTTTTAATAGAAATTTGCTACTCAATTTTCTTAAAATGTAGTACATTTAATTTCTACCTTTTTGTTTGATTGAGATTGCAATATAAAAATTTGGATAAATAACATAATTTTGGATTGTAAACTCCTTACCACTTATAAGACACCATCACTTGGATTGTAAAACCAATACATGCCACATAAATGTGTATGTCTATGCATACACAAGTTATACATGAATTAATATGCAAGTGGGTACATCTGAATTTGACTTTACTCAATAAAATCTTGTTCCAACAAACGATCAATCGTTTTGAGCTTTCATTATCTATGGATTTTTTGTGGGAGCTACTGCCAGACCTTCAACTACAGTATCTTTTTCTTCTACCCCAGGACTGCGTCTGCATTTTTCTATTACCCCACAGCCTCTCCGATACTGAATTGCTGGTAGACCTGGACATCGGTTCGGACCGTGTTGGTTGCATGGTAACTTATTGTGCTTAAAAACACCATTGCCAGTCACCGTTGCATCTACAAAACCAACCATCAGTGAGCACATAATGAGTGCTCCCAGGCCAAGGGCTATCAATTTTTTAGATGCAGCCATTGACAAACAAGCTTACTAAAAGGTTGCTTATAGAACAAACAAGCAAATTGGTTAACTTGTTCTGTTGATGCCAAGTTACTAGGGGACACCGATGATGGAATTTATTGGGGGAGTGTCATGCTATATTAAGACAATTATGGTTTTTTTTTTCAAATTTAGAGAAAAATAGCCATTGAAAATGAATATACTTTAAATTTTGAGGTTGAAATCGAAACTGCAAAGTTGTATTGCAACACAAGCCAGCCATAGAGTCAAAGAGTTGTGTGGAGATTACAGTTTTTCCGCATTAAAAGAGAAAATAGCCACTGAAAATCAATAGTTTAAATTTAAGGTCGAACTTAAATTTCGAAAGTTGTATTGATATACATGTCAATCATGTGTATAGCATTGCACATAAAGTCAACGATTCAAATCGTATTAAACATATTTTAACTCTAGAATCGAATATAATTAGAAAGTGGCTTACCTCAATCTATTGGACATTTAATGTAGGATCTCAAAATATTAAGCACTCAAAATAATTTAATGCACAATAATTAATCAAAGACCAAAAAGAAAATAAAGAGAACAAGTGAAGACGAAGGAAGAAGACGACCAAAACTTTCAGCAAAGCCAAAAAGCAAATTCTATTTAGGCAAGGATTAATTAACAACTAATAATAATAATATTATAATAGCAAAATAATTGCAATAAATAAATAATTAGGTCAAACTCCAACAGCCTCCTTTGATTCAAATTCTTCAATCTTGATTATTCTCATAATTTGCTTCAACTTCACGAACGTATCTGATTTGAGTGGCTTGGTAAAAATATCTGTATTATGATCCTTAGATTGATAATATAAAATCCCAATCTCGTTATCAATAACCAAGTCACGAATATAATCACCCTTGACATTAATATGTTTAGTTTTCTCATGAAAAACTAGATTTTTTGGCAATGCGATAGATGACTTATTACTATAGAAAATATTTGAAGGAATTTTTTGTTCATGCTACAAAAATCCAAACATATGACGTAACCACATTGCATGAGTAGCACAACTGTTAGCTGGATTGTGCTCTGCTTCAGTGGTAGAAAGACCAACAACTTGAAATTCAAAATTAACTTCTGGTTATTTCCTGTGAAAATAAGATCATTCATACATCAACGCACAATAATAGTATCTCCCTTGGAATTAATTTTGACATATAAAGTGTGTTCATAGGGATATCTCTAAAAATTATTCTCTACAAAATAAGAATCAATGTAGGTGTACCAAGCTCTAGGAGCTTGTTTACACCCATACAAAGCCTTTTTCAACATGTAGACTTTGTTTACCTCCCTTTTATTTACATAACTAGCAGGCTGTTCAACATAAACTTCCTCCTCAATGACACTATTCAAAAAACTGATTTCACGTCTACTTGAAATATCTTCTAAAAATTATTGGCAGCAAGAGAAATAACCATATGAATAGTACCAAGCCTAGCAACAGGAGTAAAAACCGCAAGATAATCAATACTTGACTTTTATTTGTAACCCTTGGCTACTAACCTCACTTTGAAGTGATTCACATCTCTATTCGGCTTGTAGTTTGTCTTGTATACTCATTTAATTCTAATGGCTTTCTTTTCCTTAGGAAGAAATTTGAAATCATATTTCGAGAGCTATTATAAATAATTCATACATACATCCAATTTTTTTTTTATTTTAACAAAAAAAAGTTAAAAAGTCACTTCAAACAGACTTTTTCAATTTTTTCGACTTTTTATAGAACACTCCAAACGGTTTTGGATAACTTTTTTAATTCTAATTTTTTTTACAAAACCTTTCAAGCCCTGCTTTTCACCAAAAAATACCAACTTCAAACAGGCACATTAATTGCAATAAAAATTTGTCAAAAAATTCTATTTATTATACTATATGTTTCAAATATATGTTTAATGTTGCCGATCACAACATCTTATAAATATGAAGGAATTTATTTTTCACAGGAGAACTAAGCCTGAACTAGTTCATTTCACCCTCAGTCACCATTTTATATGAATGGGACATATTCTGGAGGTGGTTCACTTGGAATCCTCCCAAACTGACCTTCTTCCTCTTCATATTCGTCCTTGGGGTTGCCTCGACAACGTTCAATAGCCTCGCAACCTCTATTATACCAATTTGATGGACGTGGCAAGCAAGCTTCAGGGTGCTCATTGTCGCAGGGAAAACCTTGTCTTGCGCCTTCTCGAAGAGCACCATAATTGATAAACTCAGCATCTGCTACTTCAATCAATGATGAGCACACCATTATAATGCTCAAGCATAGAAGGATCGACCCTCGTAAGACAGACATCGTTAAACAAACAAGCTTTTGTTGTTGATATATATCAAGTATATTCCTTCAACAAGAAACAAGAATCAGGCTAAAGGGAGCTTTAAGATATGTTTTGCATGGTAAGAGGAAGAATTTATTGTAAAATTTTTCTTGTTATTCTTGTAGAAAGGTTCAATGTACGTACTTCTCTTTCTGAACACATTATTAAGACTGAGAAACGTTAGGAAAAATTAATGGCATATTGGTTGTCAATCGAGCTAAGAAAAAGATTCAAAGATTGAAAATGCCTGAAATACTAGGTCGACTAAAGGCAATGAAATAGAGGGAAGGTTGAGATTTATCATGGAATAGATGATCAATAAGTTTACCTCTGAGGCCTTCAAGGTTCTGGGCATAACACAAGCTTGTTCTACCATTTGATGGAAGCAAATTAACTATCTTAATTGAATAAAAGTATTTAATAACTTTAAATGGAAAATAATCAAATTTTGTAACGTCAACAACTTCTATGAACTTTGTGCATTTATTTTGATTTTAATGTTGTTGCTTGAAACCTACAAGGGTTATGTCCCAAATTCAATTCATGGGAAACAGACCGTTGAGTTGCTTCTAGTGAATTGCTGGGGCTGAAGTCCGACTATGGCTCAAGCCGTCTTCGTGGAGTGCTTACAGGTTCTATCACTCCAGACCTCTCTAGAGGGCTTCCCTCGCGGGTTAAAACTGCTATGGTTATGTACTCTTAGGAGTTCCACATTTAGTGACCCATTCAATTGACCATGAGATTCAATTGAAGAATAGGAGGAAAATTTTACGAAGTTGGCAGTAACAAGGTACGCAAGCAGTAACTATTCATTGTGCCTCCACAAGCTCCAACCTACTTTCAGCATCAAGAAAAATTATGACACATTTATTGGTCAATGCACTGGGGTTGAAAGCAGGTACAATTTCTTAAGCATCTTCGCCTTCACGTCGCTTATGCTCCACGCATACAATCAACTTAGGTACCACTTAATTTGCAGATCAGATATCAACTCCATACTTGAACCCACCAGATGTGGGGGTAAGGCTGCATAGATCTCACCCTTCCTGCACCCGACAGTGGAGGAAACCACATGGACTGGGTCAGCCTTTTTACCTAAACCCATAAGACACAAAAGATTTTCTTCATGGTTTGGTCTGTCGTCTTCAAAGTAGTTCACATAAGCTCATCTGAACAATCTAAACAGTGAAAATTATGATTAATCAATGAAAGAAAGTCCTGCACCAACTTCAGTAAGGGAAGTTTTCTAGACAAGTTTAGAACCTATATCTATACCGACTGTAACTCCCAAACGTCTTCCAGCATGGGGTGACCCACAAAGGTTGCAGCTAGTCCATTCACTTTGCAAACTTCCTCCTCAAATGGAAGGATACAGAACACGTGGTCTATGAACTCAGATAGCGTTTTGAGTCTTTTTTCACCCCCTTTCCAGGCCCAGAATGATGGTGCAACATAATGGAAGTTTGGAGGAAGGCTAACCAATGCTTGCTGATCATATCTAGCTGCAAAAAGGAATCCCCCATTTTCTTTGGCCATACTATTTTAGGACAAGTGCAGAGCAAGCATAGAATCTCAGAAGAAGTAAGTGATGTATTACCCCTTAACTGCTTTAGGAATCGGAATGAAAAACCCTTGGAATCCACTGTCACAACAACATGAGGCTTAAAGAGAAGTGCAGCCTCCATTGTCTGTTTCAAATTAACCTGTCATTGAAAGTGCCAATGCAAGAACAAGGTCCAGATCAGACACATTAATTCGTCAATACTCCATATCTTTAAGTAAAAGATAAAATTTTGGCTTAAATGTAACGAATAGGGAGGATAATCACAATGATCTTGATAGGTGGAAGAGCATGGCACATTGCATTCCTGACTACTCACTCTCAACTTATTCAGATGCGGCAACAACTCCCAGATCCCCATTACTGAAATATCCTCCAAGGGGAACAGAGATTTCAATCCTTGGTTGGACATCATCAACCTTAACATACGCAGAAAGAAACATTACCAATGGGAAATACAAAAATTAAATGACAAAAATTGAAGAAAGTATTTGTTAATTGATGGGACATTTTCTGACACTCTCAGATGACGACACATGTACTCGACGTCAACGGAGACTCTCCGTTGTGATCCCGACACGTCTTCATCGGTTTACAACCCCCTGCCCACAGGAACTATTCATTACCATTTCTTAGGCCACCTCTAGCCCTTACAACCTGTTCCAAGTAGCAAGATTGACCACTCGATTGACGGACTCGTGTTCACCACGGAAGAGATCTGTTCTTGTGTTTATATTGTGCAAGATCGTGCACGCACATTTATCAAAACTTTTTCTCCATTCTTTTTTCATCTCTCTTTCTCGGTAAGTAAATGTGAACCCAAAATTTTTACAAAAGCCCCACGATTGAACAAAAACAAGTGAACATATAATACTATAAATAAATACATCATTGCATGTAGGATCTCAAAAATACCAAGCACTCAAAATAATCTAACACACATTAATTAATCAAAGACCAAAAAGAAAATAAAGAGAACAAGTAAGAAGACGACCAAAAACTTACGGCAAAGTTACCAGGGTACACAGATGCTGGAATTTATTGGGGGAGTCTCATGCTATATTAAGGTTGAGATTACACGTTCAAAGTTGTATTGATATACATGTTAATCATGTGTTTTGCATTGAACAAAAAGTCAGAGATTCAAATTGTATTAAACATATTTATTGGGCAGTTAATGTTGGAACTCAAAAATATCAAGCACTCAAAATAATCTAACACACATTAATTAATCAAAGACCAAAAAGAAAATAAAGAGAAGAAGTGAAGAAGAAGTAAGAAGACGACCAAAAACTTACGGCAAAGCCAAAGAGAAAATTCTATTCAATCAATTCTTAAGAGTACAAAGCAAACCTATTCTAGTTTATATATATTAACCCTACTCCCAGATTTAAGGAACCCAAGTAGTCTTCTCCAACAAGACAACACATTCTAATTAATCAATTTCCTATGAAGACTGTGATAAATTAACAACTAATAATAATAAAATTATAATAGCAAAATAATAGAAAAAAATAAAATTCACGAATGTATCTTATTTGAGTGGCTTGGTAAAAATATTTATAATTCGATCCTCAGATCAACAATATAAAATCTCAATCTCAGCATCAATAACCAACTCACGAATATAATGATACTTGACATTAATATGTTTTGTACTCACTTGAAAAATTGGATTCTTTGCCAATGCGATAGTTGACTTATTATCACATAAAATTTTTAATGGAATTTTTTGTGCATGTTGAAAAAATCCATACATACGATGTAACTACATTGCCTGAGTAGCACAACTGGTGGTTGCATTATACTCTTTTCAATGGTAGAAAGAGTAACAACTTGAATTTCTCCATTTACTTCAGGTTATTTATTGTGAAAATAAGATCATTCACATATAAACACACAATAATAATATTTCACTGGGACATACAAATTGTGTTCATAGAAACATCTCTATAAACCATTCTCCACAAAATAAGACTCAATTTGGGTGTACCAAGCTCTAGGAGATTGTTTAAACCCATACAAAACCCTTTTCAACCTGTAGACTTTGTTTTCCTTGTTTTTATTTCCACAATCAATAGGTTGTTCAACATAACCTTCCTCCTCAAAGACACTATATATGCTAACACCATTAAAAATCCTTATATCGTACCCATTTTTTGATAACTGTCTCATACTCAATAAATTGTGACTTAGACCTGGAACATAATAAACATCTGAAATAACATTGAAGGACCCATCTTTCAACTTGATATAAATCTTACATTTTCCTTTATTCAGATGGTTGAAGCATTCCCAAATTTAATAAATGACCAAACAAACTCATCCAATTCAGTGAATATCTCCTTGTAACCACACATGTAATTACTGCAGCTTGAATTCATGCTATATTAACTATCCAATTTTTGATTTTCCATCCACATGTTTCTTCTGTAATTAGTTGGGGAAACCATTTGTTGTCCTTGGTTATTAAGAAGTATAGTTATCATAACTGGATTAAATATTAAACCACTAGAAGGACTAAGTCAACAGTTAGTTGGATCAATCGGTGCGTCAAATGGTTAGACTGATCGTATAATTAAAAAATAAAAAATTTAGAATAATTTAACCAAAAAAAAAATATATGAAACATGTTTACAATTTATCATACCATAACCCCTCATGATTAAATTATCATCGCCTAAATAAAAACACATCATTCCAAATATGATAATCATTATCAACCCTAAAAACACATCATCCTACAAATAAGTCAAAATTGGACGGATTTAGGGCCCAATTCACCTGCCCAACTTGCTGGTTCAGTTCTGATAGCACTGTTGAGAAGCATTAATCACATAAAATTAAAATTATAATTTAAAATAATTCATAAGCAACTTACGTGTGCACCAACTAGTAAATTAAAATGGTAACATTGTAATCTAGTAGTAAATATTCGCTTCCTTTTTTGACAAATTTTTTGGTTTTATTTGTCATATTAACCTATTAATTTGCTTAAAAACCAATTATAAGTATTTTTAATAGAAATTTGCTACTCAATTTTCTTAAAATGAAGTACATTTAATTTCTACCTTTTTGTTTGATTGAGAATGCAATATAAAAATTTGGATAAATACCATAATTTTGGATTGTAAACTCCTTACCACTTATAAAACACCATCACTTGGATTGTAAAACCAATACATGTGTCACACCCTGTTTTCTTGTTTTCTCCTTTAAAAAAAAAACCCGGACGTGATTAAAGAATAAAATTACACCGAACTTACAATAATCTTCCTTATATTATTTTATTTTACTTACGAGTACATAATCCTCACAAGATCATTTCAAATATTCTTGATACAACATAAAGAGAAATAATAATAGCAAACTCTATCCTTTTAGCCTATCATCTAGCTTGACTTCATATATCTGAAAAATATTAAATAGGGATGAGCTCACCAGTTCAATAGGATAACGTTTATCAATAACTACCAAAGTTTTAAAACAATGCATAATATAATTAAACCGTGAATAAATGCAGGAATAGGGCAAAGTAATGAATCAAATAAATAAATAAATTTCAGCATATATCGATCATATCAATCCATCAATTTTCTAGTCCACACATGAACCGCCTCCGGAGAAAACTTTGGAGTCTTGCACCTTAGGGAACCCAATGCCCTTCTTGCTTTTTTGGAAACACCAATACCAAAAATTATGTGGTTCCACACAAGCTACCATGACAACTGATATTATTAACCAATGAACCCAAGGACTAGTAGGGATCCTGTGAATCCTCGCAAGGATCACACATCTACTAACCCTCTGCCCTCGATTATGTGCATTCATAGTAATTTCATCAAAATCACAAAATAAAATCATATCGTAGTCAGACTCCACAGCAAATCAAACATTAAATATTAATAAAGAAATAAACATTTATTATGCAACATAGTTTCATGAAATAATTAGGGTCTCGATAAAAATATAATATGTGCATGATAACTATTTATTTATAAAACCCAAGTTTGACCCCATGATTATAACGATATAATTTTATATTATATAATTAAAAATAAATTTGATATGTAACCCCCAAATATGCATGAAATGCATTAATGATAGTAAAACATAAAAGAAACTCTGCCTCCTTCTTGACTTCTATTCGATACCGTGTACTGTGACAAAATAACTAAAATAATTTTTCGAATAACTAACGAAAGATAATGATACTTAAATTTGATCAAAAAATATTTAATAAAGATCAACTTTAAGTGACTCCAACATATAAAATTTACTAAATAATAACTAAAAAATCTTACCCAAAATTTTGATTGTAACCACAAACTCTTAATTCAACAAAATTTTTGACCCCTTTTTCCTCTTTCCTCTCTTTCTCCTTTCCTTTCTTCCTCCATTTCTCTCTTTTTCCTTGCACAGTTCAATGTACTAAGCTTAGCTATTTATAGCCAAGATTTACTTGGGGACCTAGCATTCTCATGGACACTTGTCCATTGCTTCACCATTTCTTCTTTTCTTTTTTTTTTTGCACGTTTTTACTGTTCATGTCCTCTAATCTTTATATAATATATATATATACCTAAATTGCTCAATCTTTTTAATTAAGATTGGATTTGCTAATTGTTCTTGAACTCTTTTATGGTTAATTTCATCTTTGAGAAATCTTACCTGTTGAGTTTTTTGATTAATTGCAATAAGATGCTGAGAGACTGATTGATCTCTTAGTTGTCTTAATGTCTTAATTTCTGGTTTACTAATAAAATTGAAAGTTACTGATTGACCAAATGACTTAGTGGTTACACCCTTAGTATCTGTTGTAAATGGATACAACAAGTATACAAATGGTAATCCAAGGATGACTTCACTAGTCATATTTTGTACTAGGACAAAAGATGTTTTGAAACATACATTGTCTTGACAAATATGAACATTTGGGAACTTATATTTAACTTTCATTTTACTTCCATTTGCTGAACTAAGTTTCTCAAGTGTCTTTTGATAATACTTAGTTGGTAGTATTTCTTCTTGAATACAGTTAACATCTGCACCTGTATCAATAAGGGCAATGGTTTCAAGTTTAAAATCATTAATGATGATTTGTACTTGAGAATACCATTTTTG